TCTCTGCCCCAGGAGCTTGGGATGGCGGTGGGGGAGCTTCCTTCCAGGTGCTGGGACTGGCTCAGCTTCTCTGCCCCAGGAGCTTGGGATGGCGGCGGGGGAGCCTCCTTCCAGGTGCTGGGACCAGCTCAGCTTCTCTGCCCTAGGAGCCTACATCTCCAGTCTTTAAAAATTATTATTTTATTTTTTTTATTTTGAGTCAGGGTCTCACCAAGTCCCTGTGTTGCCCAGGCTGTACTTGAAGCTGTATTCTCCTGCTTCAGTCTACCAAGTAGCTGGGATTACAGACACTTCTTCATCTTATAAAGCGTGAGCCCAATGCTTTTGAATCAGTCCTGCATGTCTAAGGCCATCCGTTTGTCCCTGCAGGTACCATGAGTGGATGAAATCAGAGGAACTGCAGCGTTTGACAGCCTCAGAGCCACTGACTCTGGAGCAGGAGTATGCAATGCAGTGCAGCTGGCGGGAGGATGCTGACAGTGAGGAATGAAGGCCCTGGACCTGCTCATGAGTGGGCTGAATCCAGAGGGAGTCTCTGTGTTCCCACCCTTTTCCATCCCTACTCTTAACCCTATAGGGGCCAGAAAAGCTTTATGAAAAGCTTGGAAGCTGGGTGCAGTGGTACATGCCTGTGTAATGCCAGCTACTTGGGAGGCTGAGGCAGGAGGATCACAAGGTTGGGGTCAGCCAGGAACCAGATGGAGATGTAGTTTAGTGCAAGGCCTTGAGTCCAATCCCCAGTGGGGGGGGCCGCTGGAAGGTGCTAGAAACCCTATCCTCATGCCTGGTCCCAGTGGTTGATCCTTCTGTCCTCTTTTCCACTCACTGCACCAGGCTTAGGATTTACAGAAAGTAAAGGATTTTGGGCTTTAGCTGTAGATTTAGGCCCTGCCCTCTTGGCCCTTGCCACAGCCTAATATGGTTACCATCTTCCTTTGGGTCTTCTGCTCTTTTAGAGTACAGTTGCTATTTGGAGAAGGCTATTTTTTTCTTTCGATTTAAGGCAGCTTTGGAGCTTTGTAATGAGCTGCATGAAGCTCTAGACCCCCTTACGCCAGCCAGGTAGAGAGAGAGATATTCTGTAATTTCTGGCTTGGGCACAGACACCCTCTATATCTTTCTTTCTTCTCTGGGGTAGGTAGCTGTAGATGGTAACTATCACCTCTTCCCTTAGAGTGCACCTTCATTGTGCTGGACACAGAGAAGTGGCGGGCCCAGCCAGGCCCTTCTGAAGAGAGCTGCATGGTGGGCGATGTGAACCTCTTCCTCACGGATCTGGAAGACCCCACCTTGGGGGAGATTGAGGTCATGATCGCAGGTTTGTTCCATGTGGCCCAGCCTCCTTTCCCTCCCGGCCCTCAGACCTGCTTAACTCAGAGAGCTCGGTGGGAGGCCGGCACCTGGCTGGGGCAGACTGCCCTCCTGAGTTCCCTCCAGCCTGCTGGTTCACCCCAGCATTCATCACTTTCTTCGTTATGCTTTAGGGTTTTAAATTTAGTCAGTCCTATCCTTGAGGTAGACAGGGGACCCTTGAAAAATAATTTCCAGAGTGTTTTCCTACCCGAGGAACCCTCCTCTTTATTTCAAGATAGGGCCTCACTGTGTAGTCTCAGACTCATGGCAAGCCTCCTGCCTCAGCCTTCCGAGTGCTGAGATTATAGGTGTACACCACCACACCCAGCTGCCTGTCCTGTTTCTGCATACCTGGTTCCTCAGCTTTCCCCAGGTACCCTGATTGTTCCCTCAAAGTAGTGTGCTAAGGTAAGGGGGTCGGCTTTGGAGTCAGATTGCTGGGTTGCAAGCAGGGACACTTGGCTGTGTTCTTTCACTTCTGCCTCTCTTCCTGGTGTGCAGAATGTGAACAGCACCAACCTCACATGTCACACACTGGAGCCTGGCCCTGGTGTCAGCCACTGTGTTGCTCTTTGTCCTAGAGCCCAGCTGCAGGGGCCGGGGCTTTGGCACTGAGGCTGCTCTCCTGATGCTGTCCTACGGTAAGATGGTCTGAGTGGGCCACGTGGGGAAAAGTGGCCAGGCCCCTGGGGGGAGGCAGATGACAGGTGCCTCCCCTGCAAATAGGGAGGAAGTATGGAGGTTTTAGTGGGAGCTTCACCCTGCCGGTTGCCCCTCTCCCTGTTATATCTGGAGGAGTAACCAAGCTAGGTCTGACCAAGTTTGAGGCAAAAATCGGGCAAGGAAATGAACCCAGCATCCGGATGTTCCAGAAGCTTCACTTTGAGCAGGTGAGGAGGTTGATGGGCAGGCCTAGTTCTGGGTGGTGGGGCCAGTGGTGTAGAACTCATGAGTAACTTGGTGAGCCCTGCCCTCTGGCTCGTGCAGGTGGCTGTGAGCAGCGTCTTCCAGGAGATGACACTTAGACTGACAGTGAGTGAGCCTGAGCGGCAGTGGCTTCTGGATCAGACCAGCCACGTGGAGGAGAAGGCTTATAGAGATGGGTCAGCAGAGCACTGATGCCAGCCAGGCCTTGGCAGCCACTCTGCAGGAGCTGGGGCGTTGGGGCCACCCGCTCCAAGGACCAGAGTTCTTCGCAGGAGATAATGTATGGTGCCTTTGGTCTCTGCTCCAAACTGGGAGTCACCTTCAGGGACCTCCAGACTTGGCCTGAGTTTGCCTGGACCTAAGCAGACTCCCCTTCCCTCTCTGCCAGACTGACTCAGATGCCCTTGGAGTGGATGGCAAGTATCTCCTGGGAAGGGCACGGTGGAAATGGGGATGGACAGGCCTCTCCAAGGCCAGAGGCACCACCCAGGGGCACCAGCCTGACTTGGAGTAAAGCACTGGGCTGGCCAGTTCCCGTTTTCATTTGGCCTGCCTGAGGTACCGGGACCTGTCTCCGTACCCATCCTGGGAAGGGCTAGCTCATTTCCATTGTTAGCAGCAGGCCAATGTGACCCTGGAGGCAGGACAGGCGGCTTGGTGAGGGAGTGGTCCAGCCCCTCCCTCGCCCAGTGCCTTTCCTCCTGCTTCCTTTTTTAGAGCCAGATAGCCCTGAATGTAGAGGAAGGAGTTTTGTCTGCAGCTCCTATGGCTGGAGAATACCCTGTTAATGAGCCTTCCACTCAGCTGCTGGCTGCCAGAGGAAAGCCACTCAAGCCCAATCCTGGATGACCAGTCTCCTGTCCCTGCAGCTCTCCCACTTCAGCCCTACAGCTGCTGCTGAGGCAGCTGCACCTGGCCTGCCCATGAGGGGGCAGTGGAGGCACAGGTTTGGGATGGCCAGGCTGCTGGCAACTGCAGTTTAGGAGTCACACCAGGTCCCTCGGGAACCCTTTACTCCTAACTGTCCCTCATGCCTCATCATCTGGGGTGCCCATCGAGGAAGGCTAGGCATGTTTCCAAAACAGCCGTAGAAGGCAGCTTGTGGGGGACCTTTGAGAGGGGAACCAATACCAGATACTTGAGGTCCCCTGGCTCCTGTCACCTCTCCCCAGATTGCAGTTGAAATTCTGTAGAAGCTAAAATATGCCTGAATCTAAAGGGAAAGGTTCCCTTTGCACCTTGCTCCAACCCCTTAGGGCCAGGAGTTTCCTCTGTGTCACCTTCCTGTCCTTGTCTCCAGCCTAATCAGTCAAAGGTTCCCCAGGCTTCTCCACCTAGCAGTTGAGAGGTAGGGAAGGGCCCTTCCAAGTCTTATGGGGCAATCCATCGGCCTGCTCTGGGGGAGGGGGCCCTCCACCAGGGGTCAGAGGGCCAGCCAAGGGTGGGGTAAGGGTAAAGGGAGGCCGGGCCCTGTTAAGCAGGGCACAGAACAAAAGTGCTGTGAGAAGGGTTCTGGATGGTTCCATTTAAGGCTAGTGGAATCCAAACCCTAAAGAACCAGACAGCCAGATAGACTGGCCCTTCTCTCAACCCTGGGGTCCCCCCCAGGTCCCCTTCCTGTTTTACTATCTTCTTGCCTATCTCGTTCCCCTCAGTCCAGGAACCTGGTTCCAAGTGAGTTCCCTGTGGGTTGAGTGGAGAGGAAGTAGCCCAGGGCCAGCTTCCCTTCCTTCTCTCTGAGCACTGCCCTGACCCTCACCCTCCAGCCTGGGTCACCCTGGTGGACTTATAGGATGTGGCCTCAGGCGCCACAGGTGTAAGGGACCTGGGCTTGACCTGCATTTTGCCCTTGGAAATTTCCCTCCATCCCACTTTGCCCCACAGCATGTTCTGGGGCTCAGTGGACCAGTTTGTTTTCCCCCAGTGCTGGACAAATGCCCTCCAATCAGGCTCGTGGCCAGATAAGATAAAGAGTATCTGGCGCCAGCTCAGCCTGCTCCTGGGAATCCTGTGGCCCATGGGCTCCTCGAAGAGTCAAGCCCAGTGCTCCAGCTCCCGAGCCCAGCTTCATCTTAGGCTTTATACTTGTAGCACTCTTGGAACGAGAGGAACCTCAGAAGCCTCTTAACATGTGGGCCTCAGGTGTTCCCTCCCACGCTCTCCATAGCCCTCACTGATCCCCCCCATACACTGACACAGTGACACCAAACTAAGCATGTGGGGCTGAGTGGGTCTTACTCCCTATGGGGTTCCTGAGCAGCTACAGAATCCAGGCCCTCTGGTTAAAGTCACCTGGGCTTGGGGCTGCAGGGAGCCTTTACGTGGTCCTTCCTCCAGTTGTGTCCTAACCTCAGCCAAAGGCCAGTCGGCTACACTTTCGCCACTTCCTACTTTCCATCTGGACAGTGTGAGGCTGAAGGACAAAGCTTCAAAGGAAGACACAGACGCTGACGCAGTAGAGGAGGAAGCTTGATTTCTGAAGCAGTTTCTTTACAGTGGTGGTGCCTGGCCTGGCTCAGGGATGGGCAGGGGGGAGCCGGATCCTTCCTGTGCTGCCCAGGTCTCCAAGGGTGGGACTAGAAACAAAACTTTAAGGCTGAGGCTGCTGCTATGCCTCAGATGTTAATGACCAGGAAAATCAAGGAAACAAAAATCTCTCTGAACTCTGTCAGACTGCACTCTTGGGGCAAAAAAAAAAAAACCCAAAAAAACAAAAAACTGCCCGAGCCACAACTCTCAGGATGAAAGGTACCCTGTCCACTGTGAGTGGTGGCTGCTGAAATCAGTTTCCTGATCAGTTTTGGCCCAGTGATGACACATGAGGGTCTGACTCCAGGATCCTTGCTTGCTGTGGGTCCCAGTGATGTCCCAGGCTGGGTGGCAAGGGGTCACCTGGTAGGAGGAAGCCCTCAGGGAGGAGGGAAAGTATGCTTTTTGATTGGAAAAGGACAGAAAAACACCTTAAGGGAAGAACGAAGTGTCTAGGAAAATCAGATTCATCAAGAAGGGGGATGCTGGTGCTGATTGGAATGTCGATTGGTGGGTGGAGGGGCTGGGGGTGGCTAAGACTGGTAGGCTGCTGGCTAGAACCTTCCAGCCTTGGACAGCTGGTGGATGGGCCCTTAGAGGTTGCTGAAGAGTTCATTTTTCTTGCTCCAGTCCATCTGTGGGGCCCGTTTGCTGCCACGCTTCTGATGGGCCCTCTCTTTGGCCACGGCCAGGGAGATATTGAAGTCCAGGATGGGGTCAGAGGAGGAGGTAGACAAGGGCTCTGTGGAGTCCTGTTTCTTGGGGCTGTCTTGGGAACTGAACTGTAAAGAGAAAGGGGAGGCAGATAGTTGGGAGTCAGTGCCTGGGAGGCTCCCTGGTTCTCAGCCTGGGTAAGGTGGCTCCCTTGAGGCTGTGCCCAGGGAAGCTGGGTCACAAGAACAATGCACTTCAGCATGTGACATCAGAGGCAGGCTGGTGTGCCAGGAACCAGAGTGGCCTGGGAATCGGCTTCCCGTAACCCAGTCCCAACCCCTGCCAGGAGGCCTACCTCCTCGCTGGTATCGCTTGAGGCGGATCTTGCCAGGGCTGGCCTGGGGCTGTCCAAGGCTCTCTCACCCGGGGCTTCACCACTGTTCTCCTGGCACAGAGAAAAGGGGTGTGGGCTGGCAGGGAAGGGGGTAGGAAACTCCTGATTAGGAAACCTGGAGGCCCCAGTCTGAGAAGTGTCACGCCTTGGTCACCCACCCAAATTCCAGCTTCACATTTCTACATTCCTTAAAGGATCAGAGAGCAGCCTGGTCCCATCCATTACCTGGGTGGGAGGGTTGCAGACAGTGGGATTAGCTAAATCACTGTTTTCCCTGCCTTCCCTGATGTGGCTTTCATGGAACTGACTTGTCTTTTGGCCTGCTTTGGTGGGTAGGGTGGGGGGGTGTGCTGCTTGGAGCTTGGGGATACCAGGGCCCTCTCTGATAGTCATGGGGGACCATGTGCTCCCAAACCTTCTGCAGCCCTATCTGAACATTAAATCCAAAGCAGCCAAGCAGAGCCTTGAAGGAGTAAGATGGAAGGAGTGTTCTAGACCCACAGTTGGGGTGACAGAAGATTCATATTGGGCTTAGGGACCCTCCCCCTGGGGGTCCCCTGGTACAAACCCCTGGGGAAAGAGGAGACCCTGTGGACTCCTGCTCCGAGTGGGCTTGTTCAGGAGTGAAGGCTTTGGCTGGGGGCATCAGCTTGGCACTCAGCCTCTTCCTGGGTCCCTCCGTGGATCTGGCTGGCACCCTGCCTGCCATCTCTTCCTTTCTGCCAGGGGAGGAGGGGCTTTGTTCTTCCAACCCAGACTGGAAGTAGCAGGGCTGGCAGTGCACAGCCAGACACTAGAGCTCTGTTCTTGGGGGGAAGAATGGCCTCTTCTGTATGGTGGGGAGTTGGAGGTGGGGGCCTGTCACCCAGGATGGCGGGCTGCAGACGGGCCTGGCCAGGCCTCTCCAGTGTGACAGTCTTGGCCCTCAGCAGGGGTCAGGGGTGCGTTGTTAGTTCTGTATCTTGGAGCTCAGAAAGGAGCTGGAACCTGGCCCTGAGGTTTCAGCCCGAGCGGGAGGCTGACCCTCTCATTACACCACCGTAGGACAGCTCCCTCCCCCTATGCCATTGGGGCCAGAGGCGCAGTTACAGGACCACCCTTACCTTCTGTATCTCCCCATTGGTCAAGGGCTCAGGCAGGGGACCTAGGGTGGGGGAGAGCAGAGGTGAGGCGAGAGCTTTGGGAAGAGTAGTGCCAGGTGCAGCCTGCAGAGGCGGCCAGAAATGTTGCTTCTGGGGAGTTCATCAGATCTTGCACCCAAGGTCAGAGGTTAAAACTTTTTTGACTGCAATCCGTTGTAAGGACGCCTGACATTTTCACAACCCAGCACACACAAAAGACTGTGTGTATGACAAAATTTCATGAAACAATACTTACCCTTACAGCAGTGCAATGCTCTTTGATATTTTCTATTAAATTTTATTTTTAACAATGTGCTGGTTTCTGCTAAAGGGATCTCAAGAGGTATTGGTGGGTCACAAGTGGCTTGAAAAAACCCATACTAGACAGAGTGAAGTTCTAGGGTGGCTGCCTGACTCAAAACAGACTCCTGGGACAGGCCTGGGCCATGACATCTTTCACATGCATCCCAGGTGACAGTGGTATGACTGCAGAATTAGGGCCACACCCAAGATTATGGTTGGCAGCTGCCTCTGCTGAGAGAAAACAAGCCCAGCCCTACTTGCTATCTGGAACTGAAGGGACAGGAAGGCTCAAGGGCAGTGTCCTGGGTGTCCTCCCCAACCAGCTGGTGGGGCAGGAGGTGCCAGAGGGAGAGACGCTGGGCCTGGGTCATCCCCCATGGCTACCATGGGGCTGCTCCACTTCCAGGGACTGGGCGGGGAGGGGGGGTGTTGTTTCTCCTGAACCCTGAGCTTATATTCGTGTATCTTTTCTCTTACTCATCCCTGGTCCAGGCACCCCTGATTTACCTTTTCCTCCCTTTTGACATCTCCAGCCCTCCCGTGGCC